GACGAAAGTTGGAACTAAACACAATGGCTTTATAACGCAGGTGGAAAGAAATACAATGGGTTTATAACGCAGGTTAAAACTAAAATACAATGGCTTTCAAACGCATGTTTGAACTAAACACAATGAATTTATTATGCTGTTTTTACCTAAAATACAATTACTTCGTAATGCAGTTTTGAACCTAACTGCAATAACTTTTTAACGCAGGATAGAAGTAAAACGCAATGACTTTTATAAAGAAAATGCAATTAGTATCGAAGGTTGGGAATGAAACACAATTTGTTTAAAACGCAGGTTGGAACTAAGATACAATGAGTTTATCACGCCGGTTTGAACTAAAATACAATTATTATATGATGCAATTTTCATCTAAAATGGAAGGGCTTTATAACACATGTTTGAACTAAATTATAATTACTTTATAACGCAGGTTAAAAAATATACAATTTCTTTATAACGCAGGTTTGAACTAAAATAATTATTTTTATAACACATGTTGGAACTAAAACACAATGGCTTTATATCGCAGGTTTGAACTAAAACACAATCACTTTGTAACGAAGTTTTGAGCTAATTGATTTATTAATGTAAATGTTTGCCGGTCGTATGGAATGGCTGAAAAATAATAATGTGTCACCACTATTTGATATGGATGATGAGCTGAATATTTGGTGAAACAATTTCATCATCGAAATTAAATCTCTGGTACCTCTAGTTATTCCCATAAGATCAAGGACTGACAAGGGATGATTAGGAAGTATGAAAAAAGAAAGGCACAATTGGCAATAAATTGAATTACAAATGTTAATGGGCCGATGCAAAGGCGCATTATTGTGCCATCCATCATTCTAGTCAACATTTGAATAATCCTTGAGTTGTTGAGTATTAAGCTAAGAGATCTTGTTGTTTTTACATAAGAATCAATCATTGTTTTTTGGATGGAAGACTTTATCTTATTAGTTTACAAAGAAGAATTATTGTTTGTTAGATCTTTTCATTTCTTTTGGTTCGTAGCACCCACGAAATGAAAAAAAATGTTTACCAGCGATAAAGACTTTCCAAAGAAAATAAGTATTGCAAAAGTACATTTTTGATTTTCTCTGCAACGTACTGAAAAAAATCACTTCCATGATTTCCTCGCTCTTTAATATTACTTAAATACCTCGATGAGTCAATAACATTTTTTTTAGGTATATCGATAAAACTTGTAACAATGTTACATTTGAATTTAATTCTAAATCACTTAAATATGTTCACAATATTAAAACAGTACAAATATCTCATGTTGTTCAAGTTTTATAGGATGCAAAAACTTTTAGAAACGATGAATTCAAAGATTTTCACACAGCTCAGATTTTGTAGTAAATAAACATTAGCTAGCTATATTTTTTCTTGATCTAATTGTGCGATTATTTTATGTTTTCCTTGTTGTTGAATATCTCTAGCCAGGTGTATAATTAACATTAACATGTTAAAATTAGGATCAAATATCATATCAGCTTATTTGATGGTATAACAAGATTTGGTTCACCTAGAATATTGATAGTATGTTTTTATACTTAACGTCTTGTTAATAGTATTTAACAAAGTCTAAATAGCTGTTATGTGATGACGTCATGAAAATCAAAGACTAAGTTTAGATATTGTTTAATAAATGCACCCAAAAGTAAAATCAAATAATAAAGGCAAAGTCATGGGAAAAAAATAGCTGCATCATTAGAATGCAGAAAAAATTGCTTTGAAAAAATCCATATAAAGTCGCGTGCATTCTGAAAATCATTAATTTCTATACCCTATAAGCTCATACGTTTTCTTCTAATATTCTACAGCCCCTGCCAAAACAAACAAAATTGTTCACATGAACACATTTTTTCATCTTTTGGTTGCTATAGAACATATCGCATCCAGGCAAATTATTCGATTGAATAACAAGTCTAAAAATACCAAAATGATTGTTAAAGTGTGTTTTAATAATCTATAATCTCTTGACCTCAAGTTTGGGAGATGTTTACGTATGCAGTTTCCATTTAGAATGTTTCCATATCTCATACAACATAATTACGTATTTCTCCACGAGTCATGGGAAAAAAATAGCTGCATCATAGAAGAAATGAATAATTCCTTCAATAATGATTATAATCATCTATAACATTAAAAGTATACTTTTCATACTGCTAGTTGTAAGATTATTGCAATGCTGTAATCAAAATCAGATCTGTAATAAAAAGGTTGATGGTTTGATAATCAAATAGACCAGCCTATGTCAGCTGCCTTGGAGTGTCCCTGGGAGAAACATTTCTTTGGCTTGATATAACAAAATAATGTGCTTAAAGTGTCTTTATAATAAGACATCTATATGAGAAGTATTTTAAAGCATGATTCTTTCGACAGAATTTAAAGTCTTTTTTTGGTCTAAACTCAATCAGTTGTACACTGTTACTGTCAGTCTGTTATAGACTTTGACTATTAGGTACTAACATTAAACTTGTTTGAGGAAGTTAATCAGTCTATTTTTTGTATATAAGTCTAATTTAGATTGTGACTATAACTCTAATTTTAGCTTTAAGTCGGTTTTCCAGAACATTATCATCTCTGTTTACGCCGGTCACGCCAGTAATTTTGCTAACTTTTATTTTGTACCTTCTATTAGATGATTGACTGAACGTAAAATAAATGCGTTTAGATTACGTAATTTCCTGTAATGATTTGCGGTAGTGACAAATTTCACTAGGCTAAGAAACGAGTGACTTGTAAATCTCACTGTAATTGGTTATATCTTTACATTCTTATTATCTAACAATCGTGCGCGTGCGCGCGTGTGTGTGACCTGGTATGATGACTCTTATAAGTCTTTAGTATGACTTGACCGGGGTTCCAACCCGCTTATTCTGTATCCGATGAGGACGCTCAAACCACTAGGCCACCGGAGTGGTACCAACTCAACTTGACAATTGAAAACGCTGATAATTCTTATATCTAGCTTTAAAAAAAACTAATCTAGCATTGTTGAGTCAGACTGTGAAATACATAACCAGTGGTGTTCTCCATTGTTTAGGAAATCCAACACCACTTTTTTTTTATCAAGAATCCATACAGATTGATCAGGTCGTCGGGGACAATCTAAGGATTGTTACAGATATATATTCCAAATGAGACTTTTTAAAAAGAAAAAGACAAATAATATCACATGGCAGGTTGCAGCCCCGTTCATCCAGACTCGATTGTTGCTGTGGAATTAGTTTGGCGAGATCTAATGAATCCACACGAGATGTCTGGTTGAGTGATACAAGAGAAGCAGCATATGTAAAAAAGAGACGTTAACACAACTGTTAAATATGACACTGTCAATGGAAGAAACTTTATTCTCTTTTTCTGTACACGGGAAGAGGAAAATTTTCTCCGGTTGGCCTAATTTTTCTCTTGTTCGCGGGCAAATTAAGTTTAATTGTCGAATAGCTAATTTTATTCAGATTAATATGAAATTGTAATTTATCAATTTAGTGCCACAAAACTTAAATAAAAATATGAACAAGGCGCGTAAACAAAAACATACTTGATTTTCTTCAACAAAAGCACAAATGATATTCACAATTGAATCCAGGTGCACAATCTGATTAAAATTAGATCTCCATTGTCCTACGTTAAGATCCGACAGTGACCACTTAAAGGTCACGTTCTGGCGACATTTGAATTAGTTAATGGAAATGCAGCTTTAAGAAATCTATCAGATCGTTCCGCACATATTGGTGCTTTTCAGCCATACTGCTTAGTCTCCCAAATACGAAGATTAAAGACTGTGTTTCACCGGCTGATAAAATTAGCGATTCCTGCAATAACGTAAGTTACTAGAACATGACACATAAGCGGTTGCTATCAGATCTTCACGCAGGAGACATGACTTTAATCAGACTGGATGCACAATAATTCACGAGAAAATGTTTTCTTTAAGAAAGAGACAGAAAATAATCCGATTTGCAATAAATTTCCGTTAAAATTATTGACAAACGACTTCCTAAAACTTACATCGCAAAACAATAATCTGTCATTGTATTAAATACTAATACATTTCCAAACTAATATTTATCTAGAAAGAGAACTAATTAGCATAACGATGTTTTTCGCAAAAACGATTAAAATGAAATGGATGGATTCTCAGACACGATGAAAATTAATTTTGAAGTTTTTTATATCTGTGTATGTTTATAGGATTTCGCAAGTTTTCTATTCTTTAACTAAAATATGGTGTATCATAGATCATTTTCAACGTAAGTAAAAACGCCGTTTAAAATGTTTCTAAAATGTGTCTGTTTAATAGATGCATAGTAACGCCATTGACGTACTACATATATTCAGCAAAACATGTGTAAAAACATAAAAAAAATTCCTTTAATTAAAATGGGTTGATATCTAACCTCACTAATACGCTTGAATTTTATTACATGAAATATTATCTTTGACGATTACTATCATTGAGTACAGAATGGAAAGGATACTACATACACACAGAATGCGTTATGTTGCAGATGAACCGAGAATATCAGTTTTGTAAACTTAAGATATTAATTATATATAAATAGTAAAATTACACTCCTTAATTTACAGAGATTTTTTTGTTTATTTTAAAAGTTATATCACAAGATCCAATGGTTCTGAGTGTTCCGAATGAATACCAGTATTGAATGCGATGATGTTTTCAATGGTTTTGAATAAGCTCATGTAACATTATTATTGATAAATCACAATAATATAATCCAGAATATCCTTGAATGAAGACGCAATAATCATTAAATAGTGTTTTAGTACAAAATTTTGCTACGATGTCTGCAGTATGGCAGTTTATTGTGATGTTTAGCGCTGTGGCATGATGTCACAGACGTTTAGCATCGGATTCCACCTAGTCTCATTATCCTGGCACCAGGCCGACCAGTCCCAGCATCAACTTTTTAATGTTGAATGCCTAGCGGAGCAGATGTAAGCATCATTTTTATCAGTATTTGGTATGACTCAGACGGGGTTCGTACCTGCCCCTTTCCGCGTCTCAAGCAGACGCTCTAACCACTAGGCCACCGGAGCCGTAGTCATTTTTGTGTATTAATACTTTGTTTATCTTTTTCAAGTTTATCTTACCTTTTCATACTGAAAGAATTTAGCCGAAATAACTGTTTTAAATCAAGTGTAACAGAGAACATTGGTGATCGCATGTTCTTTTCCCTTCAGTGGCAAAGCCACAAGCATCAAACTTAAACTTTAAAATTTATCAATCTCATATCTGTAATGGCATTGTAGTAGCTATATACGTATAATAATGACCCTTGATATTCCTAATACGAAAGGCTCTAATAATTCGTACACTAGACAAACTGCATTGTGAGTTCTAAATAAGCACTAACTCGAATTTTGTTATTATATATCAGTTGGACTGGGTTATAGAGGTTATGTAGATTCCGGACATAAATATCCATTATACTCCGGCTGTCGACAAGATCTAGCGAACTCCATAGATCAGAAAACACTCCAGGCAATGACCTTCTTTTCTATGTAAAACAATTAAAATTTCAGAAAACAATAATCCCAATAATCGATTTTACTCTCTCTATCTCTCTTTTGTGTGTGCGTGTGTGTGTGTTTCATGTGCAAGTATTATTATTTATTAATTTCAGTAATTAATAACAAAATAATCAGTAATTTTCCAATTGCTAGCATTTTCCGAAACTTGTTTAAAAAAACAACATAATTAGTACTGGTTTGAATTGGCCACAATGGCTGAGAGAAAATGGTACAAAAACATCGTGACAAGATATATCAGGCAATCCAAATTATCGCATTTTGCTTCATGCTGTGAATTTCATTTCATTTTAACAGCAACCGAATCGAACGAATAATAGAGTATATACTAGAATAACACTATTGCTAATCATAAAACAGCGAATGTCTCCGATTTCTAATTCAACCTGAAATCTGTACAGACTTATGCGATTAAATGTGTCAGAATCTATGGCTAATAAGCGTAGAGTGAAGGTAAACGACCCCTGTTAAAGCATTTGTTCTCCATAAATATGTGTCGGCAATGTAATGTCATTTGACCACAGTTATTTTACTGGTTCTTATTAATTGTCATATCATCCTGTTTTAGAGCTCTTCTTCCAATATCTAACTTGCAACCAATCCCCAGTAGGAAATGTAAACACTTCTCACATGTCGAGAAGTGTCTAGCTGGCAAAATATAAAACAGATGAGCTTCATTAAATGGAATGCAAACGGATGAGCTGAGCTAATTAAGTGAAGTCAGTGAATTCAATAATTTGAAATAACATTAATTGTATTTTTTGCGCTTAAAACAGGCACATAACCGATTTCCTTTCAAACAAAGGAGAGATGATTATGTTTCCGAAGTTTCAAGGCATGAAATTGCTTTTCATTATTTTTATTAGTATATGCTCATTTTTTTCTCCATTAAAGTCATACATTCGATTGCTTTGTCTATTGTAGTGTATTTTTGTTTATATATTTAAGCATTTGAAAAATAAGACAATGAGCATATAATGAAATAGTTACTGCATTTGTATGGGAAAATATGAACTCGTTATATCAATTGGATATACTGCATTCCCAAGGTTGTGCTGTATTTCCATCCGTAAAAACTCGTTCATATTTTCCCCATACAAATGGAGTAACCTATAATAATTATACAAACTAAAATTACCAGTGCGACGTTTTTGAACTATTATGTTTTAATTACATAAGGACATAATTTTAAAGTTACGTTGTCTAATAGACTGAAAACCAAACATCGAATTATGGCAGGATGAAGCCAGTGAATACAATCTCTGCCTAATTTAAATCATCGGCAACAAAAATAACAAGAAAGAAACCAGCAAAAGAAAAGTAGTTGCCATTATATTTGAAGAGACATATACCAAGTTTCTTAGTACAGTAACACTGGCTTCTTGTATAATAACTAAATAATTATCCGGAGTACTACCATATCGTTAATTGAATATACAAAAGTGGAGATAGGTCTTTAAATAGGAAAGGGATAAGCAGTGTTGATTGACTGTTAGAACTATTAAATACGGTCTTTATGCAAGATAAGAATTTAAATGCAATTTCAACCAAGTATTTAACGATAACGTTAATTTAAAGTGCATTTAGAAGTACTCTTGTATGATAAAGCTGTGCCCATTTTTTGGGTCGCAACAGTATATAAATCAAACAAATATTGTCATATTCTAATGTATTTTCACCAATGATGTATCACTAAATGCTTACTCAGTGTAAAAAAAGCAATTTAGTTTATTTCATTTTAAATTCCAATTCATGACGATAATTATTGGCCCAGAAAATTCAATTACATAGGCAGACTGATTAAGCAAAGGTAATACACTCAAGGATGTTAAAGTACGACCACTCTCTTTAGAAATGACATGTCTCGAAATTTAGCTGTTTTTGCACGCATGTAACGTTGTTTATCTTGGAATGTAATTTACGATATGAAACACATACAACACATACAGCAATATTGTTTATTCTGGGTGTAATGCCAGTTTGTACATTAAGGAATTTCGTGATCTCTAATCAGAATGAGAACAATCAATATGAATTGTACATGTACATTGATCCAACTCCAAACATTGATCTTTATGCAGAACGAATACCAGATGGCAAACCGCTGTGTTGCGGTTTGTTGAAGAACGCATTTTTGTAAATGTTGTACTAAATTTTGTCCTAAAACAAACTTATCTACTTACTTGAAGATGAAGATCCAAGGAAAAAAAAAATATTTCATAGCTACTAACATTTCTATCAAACATTAGACCAAAATATTTTGAACGTATTTCCTTCTTCTTGTGCAAATGTTTCTAATGATAACCTTAATAATAATAATAATAATAATAATAATAATAATAATAATAATAATAATAATAATAATAATAATAATAATGAGGACTTTATATAATACCTAATCTTTAGAAACTCTAAGCTCTTTACAACATTTGACAACGCTTAAAAAGAATAACAAGCATGTATAATGAACTGATTGCAAAAATAAAAACAAACACTACACAAATTAGAAGCAGAAAAAAACATGCTGCAATTTTTAAGGTAAAGATACGGTCCAAGGATACCTTATTAGGTCAAATATAACTATTCTTGCAGTTGAAAAAGATGGGTTTTAAGGGCGCTCTTTAATGAGATCAATGTGTCTTTGTGTCTAAGTGCCGTGGTCAATTCGTTCCACTTTGCTGGGCCCTGTTATGCAAAAGAACGTTGTTCATATGATTTCATTTTCATAGTAGGAATATTGAGAATGCGAGTGTGAGAAGAGGAGCGTAAGCATCTTGCAGGAGTATACACATGGGTGAGGTCAGATAGGTATGTTGGACTGGAGCCCGTCAGTGAAACGTAGCACAGAGAACAAATGTTGTGTTTAATTCTGCATCGTACGGATAGCCAGTGTAGGGTACAGAGCAACGGAGATGCGTGCTCTGATCGTTGTACTCTAAGGATGAGCCGAGCAGCAGTGTTTTGAAATTTTTGAAGTTTCTGATGTAGATATTGAGATGAACTAGACATAATTGAATTACAATAGTCCAGTCTTGAAAGTACTAAGGATCACACAAGTGTTTTAGTGGCAGCAACTCAAGATACAACAGAAAGTTGAAACACTTTTAAAAACTGTTTTCATTGTTTGATTACGAGTAGTATGTTGACAGATTATTCGCATTGCTAAAGTGATTAATTGAATAATTAATAGTTACAGTTCTAATGGACAATCCACCATGTAAATTTAATTTACCAACGCACTTGCACAAAAGCAATCAAAATAATGCATGGCGAGAGTTCTTATACAGTAATAATTAAATAATTATCGATATTAATAAGTTTATTAGAGGTTTGTGCAAATCATACAGAGAAACGTCAACACTAAATACGAAAGATTAAAACTTTCTAGAACACTAAGGCAGCAAATACAACACATAATTAATTTTTCAATATCTTTCCATAAACATTTAAATATTCCTATTAGTAAATAATAGATTCAGATTGTGGAAGTTAGATGCAAATCAGTCTAAATAGCGTGTCATTATTGCATCATATTTTCTCCTGATCTATTATCCAGATGCACAATTAATTACGCATGCGTCGAATGGCAAACATTAAACAAATATAAAGGATTTTATGATCAAATTTGTATATGTAGGTGAAATTTAAGTTATGTACTATATATTTGTTCATAAAAAAGGATCGTATTTGCTGAAAATTATAATGAATTTCACTGAAACATCTGAAATTACACCTTGTCTACTTTAGAAAGGACATGCATTATCCTTTATACGCAATGCGCCAATGTTCCATTAAAGCAACAGCTGTCTGTTTTGTTATGATAGTTCATAAAGATGAAAGTGATTTATGCACTAAAGAAAGTACTGAAATACATAAAATCAATATAGTATCGTATAGTTTATGACGTGATGGATAACCGTAGCTGATTTTAGCTAAAATGCACTGGGACAATTGAATTAGACACACCACATCAAAACTATAAAATAGGGATAAAACTTCGATAACCAGCTAGCTTGGAGATAAGAGCTAAGACAGCAACATAAAAATCTGTTGGAAAAATCGAATATTATATGACCATATACCGGTGGTACACGATTGATTTATACAAATGAAGATTGTATGGAATAGGTGGAACATTTGTACCAATTTTACGTGTGGAAGTTAAGGGCTCTTTTTAGATATTGGAACACAAACGAACACTATTTTATTTTTTCATCAGTCATTATGATTCTAAGCCTTATTAAAGGGAAAATCGATCTATTGATCATAGCATACACAAGTGCTAACATTGTGATCACCAGGACAAGACAAAAATATATAGTTTTTATTATTTCTGCTTTTCCAAACAAAATGCAAAACCATTTCAGTTAATTCTCTGTATATTTAGTATCCATGCCAAATAGTTTAAAATAATAAAATAGTTGAATATAAAATATTTCCATTAATTAAATCAAAATAAAAACTTCCATACTTGGTTTACCAATAATAAGACAATTTTTAAATAAAGAG